CTATGAAATTACCGAAATACCCTTGACTGCCCATAACCCTAATTTCGCGGACAGTTTTCTATCTTCGTGGGAATTTCAATTTTTGACTCTGAAAATGCATGATTTAGCTTTAAAGGTCCTCATAAGAAATGTAGGTATATGTCTTTTCTTCGAAACGCCATAAGATACACCTCAATCGGAGTTCGGCAGCCTGAGTTATTGTCGTCGAATTATAATGCAGTTAACAAGCCCGAATGTGAGATACTGGTTCTGTAATTTAGAATTTTGACTTAGATACACTACAAACTGGACTGAGTTGTCTTCATAAAAGTTGTAGCCCTATGTATTAGCTTCGAAACGGTATAAATTACACTCCAATCCGATAAGCATAGTTTTGGTTGTGTCCGTTATGCAAAACAACGTCAAATCTGTCTTTTGTTTTCCAACTCAACCTTCATTTCCGCACATGCTCCTAACTTGATTTTGTACTTGTATGACTTGGGGCCTATGGAATGGCTATTGAAATGAGATTATTTTGTGTGTAACTTTGGGATTGATTGAGGAAAAGAATGAAGCCATAAATGGTTGGAAAATAGGTAAATACAAAGGGCATGCTGCCCAAATTTACGCTCGAGAACTAGGTCGATATACTTGCGACTTGAGTAAGGCTTGAGAGCGAATACCACACCAACCATCTAGGGTATTTACGTTTTCTTTGCCATTTCGACTCAAATAGCGATTTTAAAGTTTTACAAGTGAGTCTAAGTTTACAAATATTTTACTTATGTCCTTTGGTTTTAATGTACTCTTTTCACTACCAAAACCATATTTATACTTTGTACTAGTACGTATGCAACTTTTCTTTGACTCACTTATATCTTTGATGGTTGAAGCATAATGTGTTCGTTTGATTATATTAGGATACCTTGGTGATTGAGGGTGTATCCGGAAGGAAACTTTGGACATTATTTTGCGTAAATAGGTGAGTGTTCCTTGTTTGTTATATTTTCATTGCCTATGTGGCTTGTTCTTGCTTATATGACTTGTTATGAACGAATGATAACATGTTAAATGTTTTCAATGATTGCTTAAAATGAGTTTGTTAGGTAAGTGTGTACTTTATCACACTCGACCTAAATGAAATGTGAAATTTTCAATGTTTAAATGATTAAATGCTAGTTGTGCATGAATGTAAGCCTCTTGGCTGAACTGGGCCCTACCCTTCGTTACTGATCGACTCGAGCCAGAAGCAGATTCGGTCGGGTGATTTAGTGACCCTGGGTGAATGTTTGGTATACTCGAGTATTACCTTGAAGTCTGGTGGAGCCTAACCAATGTCCGGGAAGGGGGTGAATGAAATGTCAATGCAAATGAGGGGTTTTACTTATCAAAATGTATTTTCAAATTATTAGAGAAATAAGGGGAAATGACAGGAGAATGAATGAACGAATAAATGAATGGCTCCTTGTGAGCACGTATCCTTTTAATGAATGTGTTCTTATCGCTTTCCATTGTAATGTTTCTTGAGTTATTGATTGTTTATGGTAACTGCATTGAACTTATCGCTTGATTATATGTTCGGAACCTCACTGAGTTTTTAACTCATCCCTTTAGTTTTGTTTTCCTTAACAGGGGAAGGCGAGCAAGGACGAGAGCTCAGTGTAGAGTAGCTTGGTCTAGTTCTTTCATTTCTTTTGTAATGGTTCTCGCCCTAGCGCTTGGCATGGGTTGGATGTATGAAGAATTGAGAACCTTTGTATATTCAATGGTTGAACTCCCTTTTGAGATAGAAATGTAGATAAGTTTCGTTTTAAGTTTTGGATTTTGTTATACAAATTCTTATGGTTTTATTCCGATTTTGATTGAGGTCTAAAGTGAACGACTGAGTCCCGGCGAGAGTTGGGCAGGCGGTCCGCCGAACCCTTTGGTTCGCCTTAGGGTGAGGTGGGGTTGTCACAGAATCAAACTCTAAATTTTATATCGTAGGAAGTTCTATGAGTCTAGTTTCAAACGCAACAAATGGAACTCAATTCCGACTTTCCTATACAAAGCTATAGCCAATTTTCCAAAACTGCGCAGAGCCTCCTGCGAAAATTTCTAGATTTTCTAACAACTTGAGATTATGAAACTTTTCTTAATAAAATTCACTTCCTTGGCTCAAATTCAACCATTAAAGCAATCAAGAATCAAAAGTAAGTGAGTTCACATAAGGGTTATAAAGACAAGTAAATTTTTGGGGGTCTCACAAAATCTATATTAGCTCCCCCCGTAGCTAAGAACGTCTACCAAGAATAATAGGCATAAAAATAGTTTCTTCCATATGAAGAACAATAAAATCAGTAGGAAAATAAAATTTATCAACTTTAACCAATAGATCTTCTACATTACCAATTAGATATCGAGCTGAATGATCAACCAATTGCAGAATTGATAAGTATATATTTTACATGTTTTTAAGTGTGTTTTATTAGTTAATTTTGGTGTGTTAGTCATCTTTATAGTTAATTAGCTAGGGTTTTAGTGAAAGTAAACATTTTGTGGTTTGAGTGGTAAAATTTGCATTACTATGGATTTTAATGGTGAAAACTTCATGATTTTGTAGGTTTAATGATTCAATCATCAAATAGAATGAATTAAAATGATAATTGGATGATTGCTGATGATTTAAAATGATAAAAAGAAGACATGAAGTGCAAAATAATCAAAGGAAGAAATGCAAGTTTTCCTGCTTTGACATATTATGATATTTTGGCTATATCTTGAGCTACACACAATAGATTGAGGTGATTCTTATACCATTTTGAAGTTAAGAGATATATCTACATTTGATAAGAAGACATTGAAAACCAGTTCAATCGTTTTCCTTGTCAAAAAGTCAAAAGACAGAAGTGTATTTGCATGATCGAAAGCTAAAATAGAGCTCTAATGAGTCAGGGTTTTTTGGTCATTTCTCGGCCCACATAACTCCAAATTAGATGATTCTTGAAGCATTGGAAAGTTAACTCAAAGAGCTACAACTTGCATGTTTTATGTAAGTGCTAGTTCGGCCTCTATCATTAAGAAAATAAGTATTGAAATGGTGCCAAATTCACAAAAGTGAAAATGCGACCTCATGAATACGTGAGCTAAAGTCGTGTATTCCACGGTCACGTATTGTAGCTAGAATTCTGCAACTTGCTCAGCCACTTGCTCTGTTTTCACACTACTTTCCAACTCTACTCTAGATAAGAATTTTGGTTGCACATGTTCAAGAGACATTTTGGAAGAGAAAAGGAACTTTATGTCTTGTCTAAAAAAATTACTTTTTGACTTTCTTAACACTAGAGATGTAAGAGTCATAAAAAAGAGAGATTAGGACATTAAAAGGGTTATCATCAGATTTTAACATTAGAACTTAGCTTTAGTCTTGATCTGTTCTCTCTAGTTAGAGCTTTGTGAGAACAATTGAAGATTTCATTGTACAACTAATTTGTTGAAGAAATAGAAGATCATTGGGAGCTTCTTCACTTCTTCGCTAAGCTTTCTTTATCTATCCTTTTACTTGTGATTCAATATGTGTTCATGCAATGAAACTATATTCTTTCTTGTCATTTATCATCTGAGTAGCTATGTTCCTAAATCCAGGGAGTCGATGAAGTTTATGGTTACTTGATATGAAGTGAATATGATTTACACTTGTTACATCTTGTATAAACTTGTCTATTTATGCATGCTTATCACTTGTTGTTCGATCACCAATAACAAGTTTTGAGTTCTTATTATTCAATGAAAGTTAGTAATAATGATGAAACAACATAAATAGAGTTTAAGTAGTAGACTTATGAGAATAGAGATATATTTAAGTAGATTAACTTGCATTTCATGAAGGAAACAAGAGTAGATTTGATTATTCACCATGAGAATAGGGAAAACTAGTTTAGTTTAGACCATTTCATCGTGCGAATGAGATTTGGTAATATTAGAAATGAATCCCTCATTAAATAAGAGTTGTAATAAGAGGTAAATCTATTTATTTGTATCTTTGATGCCATAAGTTGAAATTACATGCCTAGATTCAAGTATTTAGTGAATTTTCTCCATTGTTATCTTGCAAGTTATCTAATTAAAACTAGTTAGATACTAGTAGTTATCATTTCTCTTACTTTAATTGATTATTAGTCTAAATAATAGAGTAAGTAAGGTCTTAGTACTTGTAAAATTGCTTCTTATGGGATCGACCCGATATTTGCCATAAACTTCTAAATTGACCTGTATACTTACAGTTAAAATTGGTATATTTTGGAATTAAACTTGTACTCATATAAAAAACACGTCAAGTTTTTAGTTTCGTTGCCGGGGAGTGCCAATATTAGGACCTAACAAGTTTTATTAATTTAGACATTTTCTATAATAGTTAGTTAAACTTGTTTATAGTTAAGTTAGAATTTTTATTATTTTTTGTGAAATAATTATTACATAATCTCTTTTATTTTTTTTTGTGGTGTATGCACCGGACTTTACGAATAGTAGCACCTTTTGATCCAAAAATTGAAAGGATACTATGTAGACAAAGAAGGCATACACCACAATAAAAAGAAGAAGAGGTGCAACAACGAATAGAGAGAATTGCTATAGAGCTACCTTTTGAAGATGCAATGGCCAAAAATGAAACAAATAGGTGAGCTCTTAGGGATTTTGCGCTACCGAGAACTGAAGGATCTCAAACAAGTATAGCACGACCGATGGTAAATGCTAACAATTTTAAGATTAAACCATCACTTATTCAAATGGTTCAACAATTTTAATTTGGAGGTAATGTCGTAGAAGATCTAAATGCATACTTAGCCACATTTTTGGAGATTTATGATACTATTAAAATGAATGGAGTTAGTGAGGATGCTATACGGCTAAAGTTGTTCTCATTTTCCTTACGAGATAAAACTAAAATTTGGCTACACTCTCATGCCCCTAATACTTTCACTACTTGGGATGATTTGTCTAGAGCATTCTTGAATAAATACTTCTCACTGGATACAACGGCTAAACTCAGAATGGATAATATTAGTTTTAGTCAATTAGATGGTGAATCATTATATGAAGCATGGGAAAGGTTTTGAGATTTGTTTTGGAAATGTCCACACTATGGACTTTCCGATTGGCTAATTATACAAATCTTCTATAATAGTTTATCATTTTCTACTAAAATGACTATTGATGTAGTCGCATGTGGAGCTTTGATGGCAAAATCACCTCAAGAACTCAAGATTTGATAAAGGAAATGGCGACGAACAATTATCGATGGGCTAATGAAAGAGCTAATCTAAGGCACTAAGCAGGTATGATCGAAATGGATACCATTAATATGCTTAGTGCCCAAATGAGGAATATGATGAAAGTGTTAAGTAGACAAGTCGAATTTGGTTCAAATTCATCTAATGTTCATGTAGCTTGTTGTTCCATATACGGAGGTGATCATGATACTAACAAGTGTGTTGATCTTGAGTAGACTCAATTTATTAATAATTACAATAGGAATGTTCAAAAAAATCCATACTCGAATACATACAATTTGGGGTGGAGAAATTATCTAAATTTTGGGTGAAAAGATCAAGGCAATCCTCAAAGGCCAATTAATCCGCCATGATTCCAACAAAGACAATCACAAGTAGATATTAAATCGAATTGAAAAATTGCGGTGAAATAGTTAGCCCAAGGCACTTCAGAAAGGTTCGACCGACTAGATGGACGGTTGGACCACCAAGATGTATAGAAATATGGAGATTCAAATTAGTCAAATTGCCAATTCAATCAACAATAAAAATCATGGAGAATTGCCTAGTAATATCGAAATCAACTCAAGAGAGCATGTCAATGCTATCACTCTTAGAAGTGGAAAAATGGTTAAGGGACCTAACTCTGACAATTCAAATGGTGACAAAGATAAGGAGCAAGCAATTGAAGGAGTAAAAGAAAGCCAAAATGATCATGTTGTCATTGATATATATATATATATGTATCTCCTCCCAATTTAAATTCTAATGTGATTCCTTTTCCTCATAAGTTCAAGAAAGATGGAAAGGATCGGGAGTTTGAAAAGTTCCTCAAAATTGTTAAACAATTGCACATTAACATTCTTGTCATTGATGCTATTACACAGCTTCGCTCTTATGCACGTTTCTTGAAAGATATCATGTCAAAAAAGAGAAAAATTGTAAATAACGAGATGATAGCGTTAACGGAAGAATGTAGTGCATTGATTAAGAACAAACTCTCTTCCAAATTGAAAGATCTTGGAAGCTTTTTTATTCCTTGTACTGTTGGTTAGTTGCATTTTTCTAATGCTGTATGTGATTTAGGTACAAATGTGTCACTTATGCAGCTATCAGTTGTCCGAAGGTTGGGACTTCAAGAGTTGAAAGCTACCAATATCACATTGCAATTGGCGGATCAGTCAATTACACATCCAATTGGTATTTTAGAAAATGTCCTCATAAGGGCAAGACAATCTATTATACCAGTGCATTTTGTTATTTTAGATATTGAGGAAAATGTCAAAGTACCCATTATTTTATCGCGGGAGCGTTTACCTGCCATTTGGAGTAGTAACAATCAAAGCCGGGCGGTCGACCTGAAGAAGGATTTCGTTGCACCCAATAGGCGGTGGCATCCATCGTACGCCATGAATAGGTTTGATCTTGTGTACCAACCTTTTAGGTCTCCGAGAAAGGAGACAATGGTGGCAAGTGTTTTCGAATCTTGCCATCGCCTCATTATCTATATGATGGCACACAACGTCATACCTAAAAAGACGGGTCATACGGAGGTCCAAAAAAGTGATATCTATTTTCTTGATTATATGTTTCATAATAAAAAATCCTCCTTCGCTCGAATTTCATTGCCGAACATCATCATTAGTTACATATGGTCTACGGCGAGGTGGCGGACTATTTCGTTCAAATTTGCATTTCCTCATCCGCTCTTTATGGTGTTCGAATATTTCGACGTTAACTTACAGGGTGTAAATCGGAAATTTATTAAGCCTAGAATAGAGTTATCGGTTTCTTCCCTTCGTCGTCTGGGTATTGGTATGGAAAATATTCCTCAACCTGCTCGGGAAAGGTAACAAAAGGCACAACATGACCGAGAGGAAGCCGGACCTTCTACTGCTACACCTTCTCCTCCACCACCACAATTGAATTGGCAACAACATTTTACTCGCTTGGACGATATCGGGTATCGGTTGGGACGAAGGGATACTCGTTTGGAGAGGATTGAGTATCACCTAGGCATTCTTCCACCTCATGACAGTGATGAAGATGAAGATGATAATTGAAGTCACATCTCTAGGATGGTTCTTATTTTTATTTCCTTGTTTTCCTGTCTTTTTTTTTTTAACTCTTTTGTCTATAGGATGTTTAACTTGCACTTTTCCTTTTACATTTCATCTTTTTGACAGTGTTAGTAGATGTTTGTGTTTTGACGAAAGTTCGTGATTCATGGTTCATTTGGATCTCAGCCATTGCACTGGGGAGTATTTCTTTCTAATTTTTGTTATTTTTCTTTCTCTACACATTGAGGACAATATGTATTTTAAGTATGGGGGAGAAAATGTGTGGTACTTGTAGTATTTTTGCTTTTGCTGCTTGGACTTGATGTTTGGAATATGAATTGCACTTAGTTGTTAATCTTCGGTTGCTAGCAGAAAGTTTCGTCCAATTTTAAGGGGAAACTCTATCAAATTTTTTTCAAAATTTTCAAAATCTTGTCCAAAATTACAAAAAAATTGCCTCAAAAATTTTTAAATTTTTTCAATTTTATCCAAAGGGCAACAAGTTTCACATCTTTAGTAACTCAAATTCTTTCTATTTTTGAGATATATATATGTGATTTGAAAACTTCTTTTCTTATCTAATTTGGAAATGACTATTATTTGATTATAATTTGTACGTTTATAGGAAAGTATATCTTGTAAAGTGAAGAAAATTATGCTTATATTTTGCATATTTGATGAAATTTCTTTTCTTTACTTGATTTTATAAGTTAAGTGATAAATATGGTCAATAATTGTGATACTTTTCTCATGATTATTCTTTTGAGGAAATTTTTATTATCTTTCTTCACTAAAAAAAACAAAACAAAACAAAAAGTGAATAAGACTTGTTCTATTCCAATGGTTCTTGAACTTAGTAACTAGAAGTCTTTATTAACAAATGTCGACTTTCGCGTAAAACAATACTCGAATTAAGAGTATGCGAAACAACTTGAGTATGTGAAGTGTTAAGTAACAGGCAATTTTCATCAAAAAATGTCGACCTTCACGTCAAAAAGCACTTTCGCAACTTGAGTAATATTTAGTTATATTATATGAATAAATCCCTCTTTAAGTTGAATAGGAAGATGATCATGGGATTAGATAACATTTTTATTGATCATATGAGTTACTTGTTACATTGGGTAAATGTGAGAAATTGAGTTGAATTAGCATAATTGTAGTATAATTTGCGCTCCTTTACTTGATATTATGAGTACTTGAGGATTAATGAATGATTGCATAATGGTTGTTTACCTTGATTTTGAGAAAATGAAGTTGAATGGTTCACATATGCTTATTTTCAAAATGTTGGATCATTGTTGGTTTGTATTTCTTATTGTTTGAGGACAAGCAATGATTCAAGTGTGAGGGAGTTTGATAAGAGTATATTTTACGTATTTTTAGAGTGTTTTATTTAGTTTTATAGCTAATTAACAAGGGTTTTAGTGAAAATGCACATTTTGTGATTTAAACGGAAAAAATTACATTTTTATGGATTTTAATGATAAAAACTTCATGTTTTTGTAGGCTTAATGATTCAATCATCAAAGGGAGTGAATTGAGAAGAAAATTGGATAATTATTGATGATTTGAAGAGGTTTAAAGAAGACATGAAGTGCAAAACATTCAAAGGAAGAAATGCAAGTAAAGATAGTTTTGACACCTTGTGGTATTTTGGCAATATCTTGAGTAAAAAGAATCGGATTGAGGTGATTTTTATACCATTTTGAAGCCCAGAGATAGATCTACATTTAGTATGAATATATCAAAGTCCAGTTCATCATTTTGTAGTCAAAAAGTCAAAATACAGAAGTGCATGTGCATGGTCGAAAGGTGAAATAGAGCTCTAACCAATTGATGGTATTTCGGTCATATCTTGGTCCACAGAGCTTCAAATTGGATGATTCTTGAAAATTAGAAAGCTAACTCAAAGAGCTACAAAATTTCATGTTTTGCATAAGAGTTAGTTCGGTCTCTATCATTGAGAAAATAGCAGTTAAATGATGCTAAATTCACAAAAGTGAATATGCGACTTGGCAATACGTGAGTTGAAGTCACGTATTCTCAAGTTGTGTATTATAGCCTGATTTCTACAATTTACTCGGTCACTTGCTCTACTTTCATACTACTTTTCAGCTCTATTTCAGACAAGTATTTTAACTACGCATGTTCAAGGAACCTTTTGGAAGAAAAAAAAAAGAGATTTATGTCTTGTCAAAACACCACTTTTTGACTCTCTTAACACTATAAATGTTAGAATCATTAGAGGGAGAGAAGAGGACAATTAGAAGGAGTTCTCATTAGATTTTAGAATGAGATTTTAGTGGTTAGTCTTGTTTTGTTCTCTCTAACTAGAACTTTTGCGAGAACAATTGGAGACTTCATTGTACAACACATTTTGTTAAAGAAGTTAAAGATTATTGGGAGCTTCTTCATTAAACTTGGCTAATCTTTCTTTATCCATCTTTCACTTGTGATTCAATATGTGTTCATGCAATGAAGCCATACTTTTTCTTGTTAAATATTATATGAGTAGCTAAATTTCTAGATCTAGGGAGTAGATAAAACTTTTGGCTACTTGATATGAAGTGAATATGATTTACACTTGTTACACATTGTATTAACTTGTCTATTTATGCATGTTTATCACTTGTTGTTTGATCACCAATAGCAAGATTTCAGTTGTTATTATTCAATAAAAGTTAGTAATAATAATGGAACAACATAAATAGAGCTTGAGTAATAGACTCATGAGAATAGAGGTACACTTAAGTGGATTAAATTTGCATTTCATGAAGGAACAAGAGTATATCTACTTATTCACCATGAGAATAGGG